TTTTTTAGACATTATGCTATTACACATTTAATAGACTACAAATGTACTGTTAACATCCTTTATATGCACTAGGAAACCAAAAAATTCACTTGCTTCACTTTATTGTGGTGATCTGGAACTGAACCTAGAGTATGTCCAAGGTATGCTTGCACTTAGAAAGGTTTGGTACCATTTATGTCCTCTGAGAGGCAGCAGCCTATTAGAGGAAGACAAAGCTATTCCATAGTTGCTATGCTTACAGAGTCAGATGATTTGAGGGATAAAAGGTCCTTCAAACCAAGACTTTCCTAGAGGATCAGAGGTGTTTTATCTCTGGGTTTTCCAAGATTTCTTCCTATTCCCTTTCTCTGGTGTTAGCTTATGGAGAGCAAGCCTACAGACCCATCAGGTATTCTCAGATTATTTCTTTTACAGAGTATGCTGACTTGAGGATCTCAAGTCAAATCTCTATTAATACCACACTAAGGTGACAATCCAAAAGTCTCTAATTTGGTTTTGAGTAAACTATTTTACCCCAGAAGTTTTAGATTCCTTATTAAAACAATAACAGTTTGGTCTCCTTTCCTTACACAAGTGTGTACACAAATGCGGTCAGAAACAGTCCTGGCTAAAGACAATTTACAAATACAGTTTTTTGGTGGGTGGCATGGGGTCTATTTAGCTCAGCTGGAAGGAAGTCCAAGCAAAATAATCCAACTGCCTAGGGCAGTGACACTCGTGCTATGGATGCACAAATTGTGCAACTAACATAGCACATTCACATATTTAGGTACTGAAGGCAGTAAGCATACAAATACCAATAATTTCTGTCTTTATGGTCTGATTAACCTCAGCGTTCTCATCTGGGAAATGGAGATAATAGTATCTGTTCTACCTCACAGGGCTTAAATGAACCAAGGTGCTCTGTGCAGTTATGCAATGCAGTCCGATTATTGTTTTCTTTACAGGGAACTTTCCAGAAAGCTTTTACAATAGGTGGCCAAATTTCAGCTGCAGAAGGATTTAAAAATTCAGCTAAAAATACTCAACAAAATATTAGCAAACCAAATTCAAAAATATATCAACAGGATTATACACCATGATCAAGTGAAATTCATCTCAGGGATACAAGGATGGTACAACATTTGAAAATCCATCATCATCATCCACCATATCAACAAAAAGAAGGACATGGTGTTCCACATGATCATCTCCATAGATGCTGAAAAAGCATTTGACAAATTCAACATGCATTCATGATAAAAACTCTCAACAAAATGGGTATAGAGGGCAAGTACCTCAACATAATAAAGGCTATATATGACAAACCCACAGCCAACATCATACTTAACAGCGAGAAGCTGAAAGCTTTTACCCTAAGATTGAGAACAAGACAAGGATGCCCACTTTCCTCTTTTTTATTCAACATAATACTGGAGGTCCTAGCCATGGCAATCAGACAACACAAAGAAATAAAGGGCATCTAGAGTGGTAAGGAAGAAGTCAAACTGTCCCTGTTTGCAGATGACATGATATTGTACATAACAAGCCATAAAGAATCCACTCCAAAACTACTAGAATATCTGAATTCAGCAAAGTTGCAGGATACAAAATTAATAGGCAGAAATCTATTGCATTCCTATACACTAACGATGAACTACAGAAAGAGAAATCAGGAAAACAATTCCATTCACAATTGCATCATAAAGAATAAAATACCTAGGAATAAACCTAATGAAGAAAGTGAAAGACCTATACCCTGAAAACTACAAGACATTCTTAAGAGAAATTACAGAGGACACTAATAAATAAAAATTCATCCCATGCTCTTGCATAGGAAAAATTAATATTGTCAAAATGGCCATCCTGCCTAAAGCAACCTACAGATTCAGTGCAATCCCTATCAAAATACCAACAGCATTCTTCAACAAACTGGAGGAAATAGTTCTAAAATTCATATGGAACCACAAAAGACCCCACACAGCCAAAGCAATCCTGAGAAGGAAGATAAAAGCAGGGGGATCTCGCTTCCCAACTTTAAGCTCTACTACAAAGCCACAGTAATTAAGACAATTTGGTACTGGCATAAGAACAGACCCATAGACCAGTGGAACAGAATAGAGAGTCCAGATATTAACCCAAGCATATATGGTCAATTAATATAGGATAAAGGAGCCATGGATATACAATGGGGAAATGACAGCCTCTTCAACATCTGGTGTTGGCAAAACTGGACAGCTACATGTAAGAGAATGAAACTGGATTATTGTCTAACCCCATACACAAAAGTAAACTCAAAATGGATTAAAGACCTGAATGTAAGTCATGAAACCACAAAACTCTTAGAAAAAAACATAGGCAAAAATCTCTTGGACATAAACATGAGCAATTTCTTCATGAACATATCTCCCCGGGCAAGGGAAATAAAGGCAAAAATGAACAAGGAACTATATCAAACTAAAAAGCTTCTGTACAGCAAAGGACACCATCAGTAGAACAAAAAGGCATCCTACAGTATGGGAGAATATATTCACAAATGACATATCCGATCAGGGGTGACATCCAAAATATATAAAGAGCTTATGCACCTCAACAAACAAAAAGCAAATAATCCAATTAAAAAATGGGCAGAGGATCTGAACAGACACTTCTCTAAAGAAGAAATTCAGATGGCCAACAGGCACATGAAAAGATGCTCCACATCGCTAATCATCAGAGAAATGCAAATTAAAACCACAATGAGATTATCACCTCATACCAGTTAGGATGGCTGCCATCCAAAAGACAAACAACAACAAATGTTGCAGAGGATGTGGAGAAAGGGGAACCCTCCCTGGTGGGAATGTAAATTAGTTCAACCATTGTGGAAAGCAATATGGAGGTTCCTCAAAAAACTCAAAATAGAAATACCATTTGACCCAGGAATTCCACTCCTAGGAATTTACCCTAAGAATGCAGCAGCCCAGTTTGAAAAAGATATATGCCCCCCTATGTTTATCGCAGCACTGCTTATAACAGCCAAGAAATGCAAGCAACCTAAGTGTCCATCAGTAGGTGAATGGATAAAGAAGATGTGGTACATATACACAATGGAATATTATTCAGCCGTAAGAAGAAAACAAGTCCTACCATTTGCAACAACATGGATGAAGCTAGAGGGTATTATGCTCAGTGAAATAAGCCAGGCAGAGAAAGACAAGTATTAAATGATTTCACTCATCTGTGGTGTATAAGAACAAAGCAAAAACAGAAGGAACAAAACAGCAGTAGACTCACAGAACCCAAGAATGAACTAACAGTTACCAAAGGGAAAGGGACTGGGGAGGATGGGTGGGAAGGGAGGGATGAGGGGGAATAAGGAGCATTATGATTAGCACACATAATGTAGGGGGGTGGCACAGGGAAGGCAGTATAACACAGAGAAGACAAGTAGTGATTGTATAGCATCTTACTATGCTGATGGACAGCGACTGTAACGGGGTATGTGATGGGGACTTGATAATGGGGGGAGTCTAATAACCATAATGTTGCTCATGTAAATGTACATTAATACCAAAAAAAAAAAAATTCAGGTAAAGACACTTGTAAAATCATGTACACAAAAGGATAGTAATTATGAATTTTTAAAAATAGTACATTAGAACAAACTGAATCTCCCATCAATGGAAGATCAATTAAAATAAATTATGGTCCATTCTACAATGGATATAATTACTGTCCTTAATAAAAAAGAGGCAGCATTACACGTACTGGTAAGAAACAATCTTAAGATATACTAGCAAACAAATAAGAAAAAGACTAAATACAAAATACTGTGTAGAGTTCATTTATATTTCAGTAGTAAAATAAGATGTACATATATGTTTGTGTATGTGTGTGTGTGTGTGTGTGTGTATATATATATATATATATAGAATATCTTTGAAAGGATACACAGCTAGCTCATCGCTATATACCTTTTGTGCTGTCTGAATTATGTTCTATGTGTTTGCATTACTTAAAAAATAAATCTAACTACAGAGCTTCAAATGTCAGTGAGACAAGAAACAGAATGGGGAAATGCTTATTATCTTCAATATAAAAAGAGCTTCCTTCAAATAAGAAAAAGAAAAGTTTACCAAGACAAATGGATCCAAGATTTGGAATTAACATTTCACAAAAGAAATATATATAGCTAAGTTATTTTTAAAATGTTCATCCTCCCTAGAAATTAAACAAATTAACACCAAACACAATTGTTTTACTCATCAGATTGGAAACTTTAAAAAAATTATTACACTCAATATTGGTGTATATATATGAAATGGGATGCTCATACTTTTCTGTGAGTTGGTTAGTACCTTTCTAGTCATATTTATTTATCAAAAGCCTTAAAACATGTACATACCCCTCTCTTTCTCTCTCACTCAGCAATGTCACATGTAAGAAATGAACCTGAGGAAATAATGCAACAAGTACAAAAAGATATATATAACAAAGATACTACTCATGGGTTTAATTAAAACAGCAAAACATGGGAGAGAAGCCATTATTCACCAATAAAGGATTAGTTTAAATAAATTATGGTATAACCAAGTAGCTACTAAAAGCTACATTTCCAAATAACATGTAAGAATATTAAAAAAATATTCACAATACATGGAAGAAAAAGGATTAGCAAAAGAACAGCATATACATTCTGATCTGGGGCAAGAAACATAAACCCATAGGAACTTGGAAGGACAAATACAAAAATATTAACACCGACTATTTCCAGGGGTAGACTACAGATGATTTTTGGCCTTTCTTTTTACTTTTTGGTTTCTCCCAAGTCTTATAATAAGCATGTTATTGCTTTTAAAATGGTGAAAAAATAAATGGCATTGGGGAAAAAAAACAAAGAAGATAGAAAAATCCAGTTAAACATTTCATTCTTCTAATTTTTAAACTAAGAAGCTGGATATCTAAATCTATGTATGAAAAAAGAAAATTTGTAGGGAGATACTTTCATATAGAAATAAAAATACTTATCAAATACAAAAGGGTAGAAATACTGCTTTATTTGAGAAACTTACATCCAAATTACTTTTAAGTGTTTAAAAAAGTCCTAATGCGCATCCAAGAAGAAAACATATATAGTTTTCATGGAATAAGGACAAAAAAATAGGGGTGATGACTGCCCCAAATATTTCCTAAAAGAAAAAAGTGTAATATTAACCATTTTTCTTTTGAGGCAGTGTAAATGAACTGCATACATCATAAATAAAATTTTCTTACTTTACAAGGAGGGAGAACTGTGATCCTGTTTTTGATGCACATTAAATACAAAATATAAAATCCACTCTTCTGCTCAAGATCAAAGGAAAAAAAATCATTCTTCAACATTTCAGTTCTCATGCAATGAAATCCAAAGGTCTGTTGAATCCACCTTTTCGATTCATGTACTGCCTATGACAAAGAAGAGAAAATGTTTCTTAAAAATTTCTGTACTCCTCTTATTAAAAAAATTATAACCCCATGCTTCAGAGATTAAGCCTATAAATCACTTTTAAAATGGCAAAGTCTTCACAGACTCCAAGAAGGGACTAGCGTTTACCAAAGGGAAGGGGATGGGGTGGGAGGGAGAAGGGGATTAAGGGGCAATATGATTAGCACATATAATGTAGGGGAGTCACGGGGAAGGCAGGTATAGCATGGAGAAGATAAGTAGTGACTCTATAGCATCTTACTATGCTGATGGACAGTGACTACAGTGGGGTGTGTGGGGGGTAACTTGATAATATGGGAGAATGTAGTAACCACATGTTGCTCATGTGAAACTTTCACAAGATTGTATATCAATGATACCTTAATAAAAAATAAAATAAAATAAAATTCTTATAAGTGGTGGTCAAATAGTCACCAGATTTTCCTGAAATGAAAAAAAAAAAAAAAAAGCAGTCTAGGGTAAGAAGCATTTAAGGTTACTTTGAGCACATTAGGATTCTTCACTTTCAAAATAAGCCTAAGCCTTTCAGATTTCTTTAAAATCCAAATAAAAGTATGGAAATACACTTTCAAAATTACTTGGGAAGATTCTAAAGACTTAAAAAAAATCAACTGAAAATCCATACTGATTTTTGGTAACACTAAACACCCAGTTTAAAGAAATGGAGAAGAGTTCCAAAATAGGTACTTTTTAAGTAAATTCAATTGCACACTGTATTAGTTCTTCCCAGAAGACCTTATTTGAAGGCAATTTTACAAAGGACTGTTGATGATTCTGGTTATCACCTTAACTCACAGCATTTCTCAAATCACATTATTCATATCCTAAATTGACTGGAATATTAGTCTTTAATCAAGGATAAAGGTAGAGAGAAAAGGCAATGCTTTAAGATGTCTTGACTTTTCCATTGTTTAGGAATTCAGTGAAATTTCAAGTATGGACTGGTTTTGTTCTGTGGTATTAATAAAATGCGATTATACTAAACAGAAGAATGTATTTATAATTGATATCCTTACATAATCAATATAGGTGACTAACTCAGGGATTATAAATATGAAATAATTTTATAATTTTAAACCTACATTATAATGAAATTAAAACTTAAAGATTTGAGATTATGCTGTTTTGAAGGAAGAACTATCTATAGCTTTAAAACATTTAAGCCAACTACCTTTCTCTGTAATAATTATTAGTTTACATGCAGACTGGGAATTATTTAATAAACCAGAATATAAGAAAGGAAGATTAAAACAAGGGACTGTACGGAAAACTGCTATACTTGCTACAAACACAATTATCCCATAATAAATTCTTTCCCAAGCTCATAAATTATATCATTAGTTCAAACACAATAATGGGTCCTAACCATACCTGTACTTCCTCTTCTGAGACACATTTATAGCATAGGCATTTACAGAGCCATCCACCTTTTTCCCCTGGAGAAAAGCAATAAATAAATATAAAAAACAGGAAGCATGTATTAAATGCTTTGATCAAAGTGCTGGATCCTATAGATATACTTAAAATGGCAAGATCTATTTAAGAATGAAGTAGCCCAGTGAGAGAAAGAATTTTCAGATCCTGAGGATATTCCATGAACTCCTAAGTGTTACAACTCTGTTCACATTTTTATAGTCACACATAAGCAATTAATGAAACATGCAAACCAACAAATGTTCATGGTATATGTATTATGTGCAAGGCATGCAGGAAAATAAGGCAGAAGATCCCTTTTGGTCAAAGAATTATTTGAAACCAAATACATATTTTCTCTAGAATTCACATTCACACAAAATGTAACTGATGACATTACTACCTCATAGCATTCTAAATCATGGCTGGAACAGTCATCATTCATCTAGGTCCCATTTCTTGCACAGGCCTTGCAATTTTGATTTTTAAACCAAGAATCAGAATACAGAGTAACAGATGCTAATGTTAAGTGTCACTTATATCTTGACCTTTTTTATGTGGCACCTGCCCATTTTTCATTAATTCCTATGGATGGGTCTTTTGATTCAGCCAAGGTAACTCACCATTTGCTGTTCCTCATNGTAGATGATCAGATGATCAGGTGTGTGCCTATGGACTAAGTATTAATCCAGGCTAGACAAGGGCAGCAAGACATCCACGGATGCAGAAGATTTCTCTCAAAGCAGGGGGGGTGAGGTTCTGAGCCTCACCTCTGTTGTATATCTTGACCTTTTTTATGTGGCACCTGCCCATTTTTCATTAATTCCTATGGATGGGTCTTTTGATTCAGCCAAGGTAACTCACCATTTGCTGTTCCTCATGCCTGAACTGCCTTCCCAAACCCCATCTGATGTTCAACTATCTGGTTCTTATCCATTGTTCAAGGCCAAATTAAAATGATCCAGCTGTCAAAAAGGCAGCTTCTCTAACTCCCACAGAATGTTAACTGTGCTTTCCTCACAATACCCTCCATTTTCTACCCTGCATTATCATTACACACACACACACACACACACACACACACACACACACACACACACACGAATGATTATATATACATGATATTATTTCCCCTATGAGACTTCAAGCTTCTTGATGGAGAAATACGGCTGTGAGTCACCTTTGTATTCTCGCATCCTAGGCCAATGCACTTGCAGGTGCTCAGAAAATGACTGCTAAATGTAAGAGCATCATCAGTCAATGCCATCTCACACCCCCCCCCACCCAACCCCTTCCCTCCCTCATTATTACTTATGGGAGTGCACCCTATCTGTGTAGCACCATTATTAGGTATCTGTGTTAGGGCAAAAAAAGGGTTTTTATCCACTGGTCAAAAGGTACACACAGGTGATGTATGTATATGAAGTGGACCTAAAATAAATATATTTGGTTGTACTGTTCTATTCCTGTTTCACCATATTTTGCTGGATGGGGGAGTACTGGGTAAATTACTTAAGATGTATGATTTTGAACTAGCAAGAAAGGAGGCAGGCATGACTTGGAAAGACTGGCTTGGAAAAAAAGTAAATAATGCTAACCTTTTTATTAAGTTAAGTTCCTAAAGGGCTTACTGATTTGTGAAAACTATTTGCTGACTGTAATATTATTAGCCCTATTTTCATTTACATGCTAGAGAAGATAATTATCCATTAGAAAATATAACCAAATTTGGAAATGTTCTAGACTATTAAAATGGAAGGGAAAAATAGGTGACTACACTGGCATAGAAAAGGTCCCACCACAGATCAGTGATAAAATATCACAAGGTGTAACATCTTTCTACGTTGATAGTTACTGCACTAGAGGAGGTGAAGATTTGCTAATGTCGGTAACTGCTGAACCACTGTGTTGTACACCTGAAACCAATATAAGATTGTACATCAATGATACTTAAATTAAAAAAATCACAAGATGTACATTACTGAAAAACACAAATGAGTTGAGAGATTTTACAACTGACAACCAGGAAGCCAAACTCATATGAATAAAAAAACAGCTGACATCATCTGTTCTTGAGGTGGTCCAACACTAATTTTTATAGGATCTAGGAATTCTCACTAAATTTTTCCTTTAAAAACAAACATATTCAGCACAGACTACATTTAAAAGTGAAGTGTGGCTCCGTCTTTACATCTGATTCTCAGAATTTCAAATATAACATTATCAGGCAATCATAATCCCATCCCCCAAGAAAGAAAATAATTCTGGTAAGTTCCCTCCCTATTCTGAAAACAATAAAATTAGAGTTGCTTTACTTTGGAGATATTTTTATTCACTCACTACATATATCAATAAACCATTTAACTTATAAAATACTCTTTGGAAAAACAAATGATGATCTGATGTATTTAAGGAAAAAAAGCTGATACATAAACTTCATTAAATTCCAAAGTGGGGTTCGCATTACCATTTGTGAGAATAAGAGCTCATTCTTAATTTTCTCACCTTAGGTTAGTCATTTTAAAAACACGTGAGCCCTACACAATCACACCAGTCAGAAACTCTGACAGCATGAGATTACCCCACTCCATTCACAAATCAATGGAATACAAGATTAGAAGTGGATTATTCTTGACAATTTTTCTCAAAGATCTCAACTTTCATTTGTAAAACTAAATGGACTTAAAATTCCAGAAGTCTTTATATTATTTTCTCTACACACACCATCCTTGTGTCTATCCTTACTAGCTCCCTCTCTACCCTCCCTTCCCACTTCCTCTCTCCATCTCCCCTCGCCCCTATTTTTCTTTACCCCTACCTCCTTTAGCTCTCTCCCCTCACCCTCTCTACAATCTCTCTTCATCACCCTCTCCACATTCCCCTCCTCGTTTCCCTCCCCCATTTTCTTTTTCTCTCTGGAATTATGATTAAGGCTAGAGAACATCCACTCTCCAGTCCACCCCTCTTCTGAGCTATGAGGTATATATGCAGCTACTGAACTGTCATCTTTATCTGGAGCTGAATTTCATTCTTCGGTTTCAAACCCTTCCTATAAGGATTTCTTGGTTAACTCCATCACCTGGTCTTTCAGCCTGTCACCTCAGAGTCATCACTGACCACTCACTCCCACTCCCAGCACCACTGCCACTAAGTCTGGTCCCTGAGTGTTTCTCAATATTCCAGCCCCTTCTCTCCGGTCAGGCCTTCATCATCTTTCACTTGCATGACTCAGCAGTTCTCCCTGCCTCCCATCTGTCCTCCATGCTGCCCCGTGTCATCTTTCTAAAAACACAAATAATCCTGTTTCTTGCTTGCTTAAAACTCATTGCTTCTTCTCCTCAACACTTAAGATGACCAACTCTGAATTCCTTAGCATGGCTAAGGGTATGAAACCCCTTTGTGATTTGCCTCCTCTCTCTGTTCCTAGTCTCATTCCTAGTCACTAGCCTGTCAGCACGTTCACCAGTCACTGAATTTAGAATTCCCACAATACACATTATACTCCCTCATGCCTACATGGCATTTTCAGGAGCTCGTCCTTCTACTTCAAATGATCTTCCTCATCTTCTGTCTCATCACTTTTAAGATCTAACTCAAACATCATCTTAAGGTAAACATTCCCTGAATTCCTATGTCAGCTCACAGCTTCCTTCTCTGTGCTCTCAGAGCCATTCACAGAGATAGTTATTTCTTTTAATTGAATTAAACTTGTATCAGTGCAAGAAATTAAGTGATGATAATAAAAGAATATTGAAAAATGGGACAGTCATATGGTTTAATTCAAATGCTTAATTCAGAATGCTTAACTGGCTTCATGTTCTACTTACTTTTGTGGAGTCAAAGGAGGCAAAGCCCATTAACTTCATCATTTCTATTTCTTCCTCAGTTTTGCCCTCTAAATCTTCCTCTACAAAAAAAAAGTAATTTTTAAAAACTCTATCTCTTCATGTATATAAAGACAGGTGGCAATAAATTCCACTTAACCAGCAGAGAACATACAAAACAGTTAGCTAAAGACTTAAATCTCAGTTTGAACAGAATGTAACTTAAGGCGAAAAGTAGTAATGTGCTGTCCCTCAGGAGAGTCTGCTTAAAAGGCTATGTGCTTAGAGCCTTTAGGCAGCACCACTTTTTTTTTAATCAGGCATAACACTAGTTTTGAAGGTACTTCTAGAATAGAATGCTTTTTGTCTCACATTTTCAACTGATCTTCCTGTATCAGGGGTACCACAAATATCTGGCAACTCACTAAGGTACAATTAAAACAAAATCTCAAAGCCATATGCAATGAACACTATAACAAACTTAATATTTAAATGTTCAAAAATTGTTCTTTTATAATTTTATCATGACTGAAGTTATCCAAACAAGCTACTAAAAACACTTTTCCTACAGTTGTTTATCTATTAACATTACCAGTAATTTGACGTTCTTTGCTCTTTGTTTCTTTTGTGTCTTTCTTTTCCTCATCTCTTCTTTCTTTCAGTCGAGAAGGGGAAGGAGATGTGGATCTATGTCGTCTTGGAGATCTAATATTTAGTACAATATCAGAAACAGAAATATACCTGGCAACTTGTGTCAGTCAGCACAGATATATATGAGTGCCTGAAAGGTAAAGTCTGAACAAAAAGCCAGGCTCCAAAGAACCAGGAGTCCATTCTCCATAGCACAATGAGGACAAAAGTTCTGCCTAGGACCTGATTTTAAACAAAGATAGCAATCATCAGTCTCAGTATAGCTAGGGCTAATAAATTTGTTTAAGGCAGAAAAACAACCAGTTTCTAACAATTACACACACACACTTGACTTGAATAGCAACTGATACTAAGAACCAAGAGTCTATTTCTAAGGTTCTTCCAAGCTCTCACATTTTTGATTAGTATAAGTGAACAAATCATTATCACCAAAGAGTTAATATAAAACACTTACTTCTTACTATTACCAAGCACCATGCAAAGCACTTTTCATGTATTATTTCTCATTTACTCCTCACAGCAACACTATGGTATAGAGTGTTATTAATAATCCCATTTTACCAACAGAAATGTTAGTTTTAGAATGAGGTACGCTTAAGTTCCTCTCATTTCATGAAATTGCAAACCCTTTGTAAGTGATAAAAACAAAATCATGAGCAGCGATTAGTTTCCTTGGGACTTCTGGTAAAAATTTTCTGCACTTACCTAGAGCGTCTTCTGTGGGGGGATCGAGAGCGGCTCCTTCTCCTATCTCTCTCCCGGGACCGGGACCTTTCTCGGCGCCTGCGTTCTCTCTCCCGAGATGTGGACCGGGACCGCCTACGCTCTAACACAAACACACAAAATTGCAAAGGCCACACAACAACTTCAAAAAGCTAGAGCTGAGCCATCCAATAAAAATATAATACGAGCCATTTCTAGGAGTTACATTAAAGAAGTAAAAAGAAACAGGTGGAATTAATCTTAACAGTATGTTATTTGATCCAATACATCCAAACTACTATGAATTTCCACACGTGACTCAATATAAAAAATTGAGATATTTTACATTCTTTTTTTGGTACTAAGTTAAGGAAGTCAGGTGTATATTCTACACTTAAATAGCACTTCTTAATTAGGACTGAGCACACTTAAGTGCTCAATAGCTCTATGTGGATATCTCATCTAACTTAAGAAAATCAAATCTTAACTAGTTGAAGGTGACAGACCGAGGGTCTAAATTAGATCTCCTGACCGAACTCCTTGGGTTCCTTACAACACAATTCCTCATTTATGGGGCTAGGGACCAGAATACATAACCAGGTGAGCTCCCAGCATGCAAAATTCTAAATATCGATTTCCCTATTACAAACTGGGACGGAAACTAACATTGTAGATTTAAGAACCATGCTGAGCGTTATGGAATGTGACATTAATTCTCACATCAGTTTTTAAAGGTAGGTAGTATTACCCCTAATGTCTAATTCGGACACAGAAAGGTTGATGACGCACACAGCCACCCAAAAACTAAGCGAGGAAACCATGGTGTGATTCTAAATCCCCCAGCCAGCCACAGGTATAACAAAAGTTACTGTGTGAGGCTGCTTAGAGTCGGCGAGGCCCTGATTCAGAAGGGGAAAGAATTGCCTTCAAACTGGAGGGCTGTGTAGAGCCCAGCTATTCGTTCCGTTATTTGCTCTCTGCTCTTCCCCTCAGGAGAAAAGGGCCCGCTTCACCAATGCACTAATACTGGGGGGGAAAAAATAAATAGGACGTGTCTCCCACCGACCCCTAGGCCCTCCGAAACGCTTCTGGACTCACCCCTCCGTGGGGACCGGCTGCGGCTGCGACCCATTGAAGTCCTCCTCCACCGCACACCGCCCCGGAAACGACTGTGCAACAACTTCCGAGAGGGTCCGGTACTGCGCTTTTATCGCCGACTGGAAAACGTCGAAACGATTCGCTAGGGTTCCGGCTTTTAAAGAAAGAATGCTGAGTTGAGACCGCCTGGGACCATGCAGCCCCGCCCCCGTCCCTCGCCCCACTCCGCCGTCACTTCTGAGGCCGGAGATTTCGGTGTGAACAGAGTCGTCATCTCAGCTTCTCCAGCCCCGCTTTCGCCCCATATTCTGTGTACACGGTGGGCATTAAAATGTGCTACTTGATGTCGTTATAGAAATGTTTGTATGCCCACCGCAACACAGTTCTCATTTTTCCCATTTTTCTTTCCAGTTCTGACTGGGATGCCCAATCGCGCTGGTCTGTTATTGCCACCGGTTTGGGGCAGCGGCGGGGCGCTGACAGAACGGCCGATCGCAAGGGAGAAGGCGCGCCCTCCCTAACTTTTCGGCAGTCTCCCCTCCCCCCACCGACGCCCTCGGGCCAGCTCCGCTCGGCTATTCCCGCCAGACTCAAGGAGGCTTGGCAGGTGAGGACCTAGTTCCGACGTCGGATTACGGTAGGGCCTTGGGGCCCCTGACCCAGTCAGACCCACCCGTGGGGGTGGAAGCGGAGCCTGATCACCTCCCTAAGACCTCTTAGAGGTCTCACAGGTAGGGATTCCCAGGGATGGAGTGTTTAAAATCTGGTCCGAATATGTGAGTGATTCAGACACATTAAGTTTGGTCTGAATCTGTGATTCCACAGCCTGTGCTACAGAATCTGAGGGGGGCCCTTTGCTGTATTCGTGGTGGGACGCCACGACATAACGGGGACTCACCTTCGGCTGACCTGGCCCAGGACTTATATGTGTGCACCTTAGTCAAGGCTGACCAAATCCTCCTAGAGGAGAGTGAACGGACAGGAATCTGACTGGTTTCCTCTCTGAAGGGGACACCCCTGCCCCCACTCCCCCACCCTCCACTCCCCATCTGTCATTGCAGCATGGTTTCATGGGCACGCCATGGGGTCAGGACACAGCAAACCCACGGTTCTCAAAACCATGATCACAAATTTCAGGAAGGGATTTTCAGGAGACTACGGAGTAAAATTAACCCTTGGCAAGTTGAAACCCCGGTGTGAATCCGAATGGCCCACCTTTAGTGTAGGGTGGCCTTGGGAAGGGACCCCAGATGTCCCAACAGTCTGCCAAGTCTGGCAGGTCATCACTGGAGATCCAGGTCATCCTGATCAGTTCCCATATATTGACTCCTGGTAAAGAGTTGCCCAGACCCTTCCCCCTTGGGTGCGATTCACTTGCAACAGGCAGGGAGGGACAAGGTAGGGTCTTAGTTGCTTCAACAAAGCAGCCCACAAAAGACCAATAGAAGCCTGAGCCTCCACAAATTCTGGCTGGTGAACCAGAGGAAGAAGGACCAATATTGCCCCCCACCCCCATCCCGAGGGCCATCAGCACTGAACTCCCTGGTCCCAGACACTCCCACTCTCCCCCAGACCAGCAGCCAGACTGTGCCATCAACTGGGTGCAGGCGCCCTTCAGATGCCGGTATGAGAGACGCAGGAACCCAAGAGGAGTGATGATGACAGGACCACCCAGCCCTGCCGGTCCATGCTTTACTGTCAACTCTTCTCCATGACTGACCTCAATTGGAAACACAACACCCCATCATATTCAGCGAAGCCACAAGCCCTGGTTGATCTCATGGAATCCCTCTTCCAAACCCATCGGCCAACCTGGGAAGACTGCCAACAGCTTCTCCTCACCCTGTTCGACACGGAAGAGAGGAGGTGGATTTTAAGAGGGGCTCGCCAATACCCAGAAGAACATGCACCAGTCAGGGTCCTTGATCAGGGTGCATGGGCTGAAATCTCTGTCCCCAAAGAGCACCCTGAATGGGACTTAACCACTATTGAGGGACAATACCTGATCCGCTGCTATCAGGATGTCTCTCCTCCAGGGGATCAAAGCCAGGTCCAAAAAGCCCATGAACATGACTAAAATATCTTCAGTCACTCAACAACCAGGAGAGTCTCCTGGGGAGTATAACGAAAGGCTGTGTGAAGCTTATCGCATCTATACCCCCTTCGACCCTGAGTCACAAGAGAGCCAACAGATGTTCAACACCTCATTTGTGGCCCAAGCTGCCCCAGACATCAGATGGAAGCTCCAAAAACTCAAAGGCTTCACCGGAATTAACATCACCCAGCTGACTGAAATTGCCAACAAAGTATATCTGAACAGAGAAGTTAAGGCTGACAGGGAGGCTGAAAAATGAATGAAGAGAAAGGTCAGCCTCCTGGCAGCTGCCCTAAAAGAAAGGGATAATCAAAAGGCAAAAAGAAACCGGCCACCAAGAGAAGGAGGCCTAGGACCACCCCCCACCGTCACCCCCCCAGCCAGGGACCAGTGTGCTTACTGTAAAGAAAAGGGGCATTGGAAGAACGAATGCCCTAACTGAGGAAAAACCCTGAAGCCCAGTTAGTACTGGGAAGAGCCTCATGGGGAAAGGCTCATTGGCTTGACAGGAATAGACTCAGATTGCGATTGACAAGCACTGGGCCCTCTCTCTCTTGTCCCCCATAAGCCCATGGTCAAAATGAAGGTTGGGGGCCAAAACATGACTTTTATAGTTGACACAGGGGTGGAACACTCTGTGGTCACCCTCCCTGTAGCCCCCTTCAGCGGAAGAACTGCAACTATTCTCAGAACCACTGGCACAAAAGCAGTCCAGCAACACTTCTGCCGAGCCTGCCAGCATGAACTTGGGGGCCACAAGTTCTGACATAAATTTCTCTACCTACCCAAGCATCCCATTCCCCTCCTTGGCCAAGATATACTCTCGAAACTTGGAGCCCAAATAACTTTTGAACCAACTGGATGCACCAGCCTTGAATTAAATCTGGGGCAAGAAGAGCCAGGGTCCCTGGGGCAAAAACTACACCCAGGGAAGAGGAATGGAGGCTATTCTGAGCCCAGGCCCCCTCAAGTAGGCCACCTGAATTCAGAGCTGCCTTCCCCTCGGTATGGGCTGAAGACAACCCACCTGAACTTGCTCATAACTGAGCCCTTGTCATTGAAGAATTGACTCTGGGGGCCCAGCCACAAAGACAGCAGCAGTACCCCCTTTCACAAGAGGCAAAAGCAGGCATCCAAGAACACCTGACCAGACTCAGGGAAGCAGGCATTCTAGTTGAGTGTGAGTCACCCTGGGATATCCTGCTCCTGTCAGTCAAAAAGCCAGGGGAGGGTACCAACCAGTCCAAGACTTGCGAGCCATCAACAAGGTGACTGTTTTTTTTTGCACCCAGTAGTCCTTCACAAGAGGTGAAAGCAGACATCCAGGAACACCTAATCAGACTCAAAGAGGCAAGCATTCTAAGTGAGCGTTAGTCGCTCTGGAACATCCCACTTCTACCAGTCAAGAAGCCAGGAGGAGGGCACCAGCCTGTTTAAGACCTGTGAGCCATTAACAGAGTGACTGTTTCTTTACACCCGGTGGTCCCAAATCTGTATACCCTCCTCAGCCAGATCCCGGGGTCTGCCAAATGGTTCACTTGCATACACTTAAAGGATGCCTTTTTCTGTCTCCGGCTGGCTCCCCAGAGCCAGCCCTTGTTTGCCTTCAAATGGACTGAACTGGATAAGGGGCGGCGGATACAGTTAACATGGATGCAGATTCCACAAGGGTTCAAGAACTCATGCACGCTCTTTGGAGAAGCATTGGCTGCAGACCTTGCCAGTTTTCCGAGGGAAGCCATGTGCTGCGCCCTCCTCCAGTATGTAGATGACCTCATCTTTGCCAGTGACACCCAAGAGAACCGTACAGAGGGCACGAAGGCCCTCCTGGAACTCCTGTCAAACTCAGGATACCGAGTCTCATGGAAAAAGGCACAAATCTGCCAGCAACAAGTCTGGTACTTAGGCTTCTCCTCACCCAGGGGAAGAGGGCACTGGGGCTGGAGAGGAAAAGAGTCATTACCTCCTTACCTCAGCTCCAGACAAAGAAGGGCCTACGAGAATTCCTGGGGGCTGAAGGGTTCTGCTGAATCTGGATTCCCAGTTCTCAGAAATGGCAAGACCCCTCTACAGCCTCCTAGGAGGGCCTGTCTGGACTGAAGAGGCAAAAGCCACCTTCCTGGAAATAAAGGCTGCTTTAGGGTATACTAGGCCTGCCACATATAGAAAATCCCTTCAATCTCTTCGTACATTAAAAGGTAAAGGTATCCCTTGGGGTTCTCATGCAGACTGTTGGCCCCTGGCAGTGGCCTGTCACATACCTGTCAAAGAGACTGGACCCGGTTGCAGCAGGATGACCACTATGCCTCAGGGCACTAGCAGCCACAGTTCTACTCATTAAGGAGGCAGATAAACTTACCCTGGGATAAGAATTGAATGTCAAGGTCCCCATGATGTTGTGTCCCTCATGAACACAGAGGGACACCGCTTCCTCTCCAACTCTCAGCTAGAGCAATACCAAGGGCTCTGAAAACCCACGGGTTGCTCTTGAAACAGTATGGACACTGAATCCAGCAACTTTCCTCCCCACTGAAGAGGGGAAACCGTATCATGACTGTTTTGAGGTAACTGACAAAGGCTATGTAAGTTGTCCAGATTTGTGGGATCAATCAATACAAAATCCAGAACTCACACTATTCAGTGATGGCAGCAGTTACTTACAAAAAGATACCCAGAAAGCAGGTGATGCAGTGACCACTGCCACTGAAGTCTTAGAAGCAAAAGCCCTACTGGCTGGACAGTCAACACAATGGGCCAAATTACATGCCTTGATCTGAGCCCTCACCATCAGCGAGAGCAAGCAAGTCAACAGCTACGCTGACTCCCAATATGCATTTGCCACTGTACACATTCATGGGGCAATCTACAAGGAAAGGGGTCTCCTCACTGCAGCAGGAAAAGCAACCAAGAACAAGGAAGAAATACTAAAACTCCTCAAGGCTGTTGGCTCCCAAAAGAAATAGCAATTCTACATTGCAAAGGACACCAAAAGGAAAACGACCCTCTAACACAGGGAAATCCCCTGGCAGATGAAGCCGCT